GGCTGCGCTTTGTCTGGTTCCTCACCTAGGACCTGTCTGCCATGGGTGACCCTACCAGGGGCATAAAGCCCCAGACAGCATAGCTCCTAGAATGACTTCACTAAACATATATTTGCATTTCATGTATTATATTATTGCATTTGGCCCGCAGCCCTTGAATAGATTTTAATTTTGACCCTTTAGGGGAAAAAGCTTGGACACCCTTGCTTTAGAGGTTTTGTTGTTCTGACATGTATTACCTTTATTTTTGTTTATTATTGCAACCTGAATCAATAAAGTGAGGTTCGGACAATTTATGCTCGAATAAACCAATTTTCATCTACTGTGGGGTAAACTATTTATTAGAAACTGTATCAAATGTAAGCATTACCCATAAAAATCTGAGCAGCCACTAAAAAAAAAGAAGACACCATAAGCCAGTGTTTTTTAAACTAACCATCTGAGCAGTTAAGTAAAACCTTTCTTCTATTGATTTGCCTCAGAACATTATTTCACCATTACAAGATTGACTTGTGGAAACAAATAAAATAAAACCAAACATCTCATACAATATTTATGCTACCGATTGTAAAATATCACCCCATAGTTGAAATGGAATCGCCGTGGCTTCTGAGCAGCAGCTATAAATGCACCCCAGCAACCACAGTCATTACATTTAACAGTGCACAGCTAAAGCGAGCCCTAATGAATCGCCTCTCCATTGTTATGTGCAATGAGAGTATCCGGGGAGCACTACTTACACTGAACTGCATAGGATGCCAGCAGGGCAGCCGTGTTGTGAGGACAGGGCAATCTGGAAGCACCAGGAACAAATAAAAATTAACCAACAATAAACAGAAAAACACAGAGTTGATTTCAGTAGATATTTAAAATGATGCAGTTCCCCTTTAAAGAACGTATGGCTTGTATTTGCTCATGTGTGAAGGCAGTCCTGTCTTGGATTTACAAGCCAGAATAGATTCATATGTTTAAACATCAAATTTACAATGGATGGCAAACTCACCTTCCAGTTAATATATCTTGTTTAAGCTGAAGAAAATATAGGTACCTAAGAGGAGACAAAACAGGGAATTCAGATAATATATGAAAGAATCAGCTCATTTGCAATAATATATTTTTAAAGCAAAACTGTCCTATAATATTTAACAAGGATTTTTATACAAACCTCATGGCAAGGTCGTATCTCACTTGGCTGCCAATATTATATTTTTCATTTGTGATGAAGATGAAGTGATATAAAAACAAAAAGAGGCAACACCTCGTACAACACTCCAATCACGGCATCATCAGAACAAATCTTACCGTGTGTATTCTTCCTGAAGTTTACCCGGGTCAGTCACAAAAAATTTGACTCTGAAGCTCAAGTTATGTGGAGACCCTCCTGTAATAATGATTATAAACATTTATGAAACATTTCAGTGCCTAACAAATTCATTGTTTAATACAGTATAAACAGTAAATGGTATGAACTTATATAAAAGTCCTATAAAAGTGCTATAAAAGTTACTATAAAACCTCAAGTGTAATCTTAAAATCTGTATTTATACCTCAGATCAGCCTCCATCTACACACTGTATATATATAAAAAAATAAAACCTCTAMTGGTATTTTCACTAACTGATTCAATCAACCGGCAAGAAAACCGGGTTGAAGCACAGTTCAATCATTGCTGGGGGACAAGTACTGGCTTCACTCGAACTACTCCTTAATTGTTCATGTTACAAACTCTTTTACTCATTATCAAAAAAAGAGCAGAGTTGAAGGAAAGTTTAATCATCGCTTGAGGAAAATTCAGAATAGTAAATGGCAGTTTGGACTGTAGACTTTTGCTGGAGGTGAATGTGTGGATTGTTAATTGTTTCTACAGACTGCTGTCTCAACCAAACTGGAGTTGAATGAATTTTTTATTTTATTTTATTTTTTTGTGGGGGTGAGTGTTTCTGTTTTGTTCTAAGGCGGTGGAGAAGTTAAGGCAGTGTGTTGTGGATGTCACTTACTTTTTAACTGTTTTCTGATTGGCTTATTGGGATCCAGCCAGCGCTGTAAAATATTGATCGAGACACATTTAAGAGTCGCTCACCATAAAGCATGAACACACACAGCTTAAATTATTCACCAGTGGTCACAAACACAAACACAGAAACCTGTCAGGAAATGGAAACCAATACAGACAATCAAACTGAACTGTAAAGATGTTGGTTCCTGTCATTTACTCTTCTATATAAATAATTGTATGTTTTGGTGTATATACACGTGGAAAAAGTGTTTGTCCCCTTCCTGATTTCTTATTCTTTTATGTTTGCCACACCAAAAATGTTTTAGATCACCAAAAAAAAAAAACAAGTAAACACAAAATGCAGTTGGTAAATTAGGGTCTTTATTATTTAAGGGGAAAAGAAATCGAATCATACAGGACCTTGAGTGAAAAAATAAAAGCCCTCCTGTGGTTTATCACATCTTTGGAAAGCTGAGTTTAATTTCCCTAGCCACACCCAGGCCTGATTAATTCCACACCTGTTCTCAATCAAGAAAACACTTAAATATGACCTGCTTGACAAAATAAAGTAGACTGAAACATCCTGAAATGCTAGACATCATGTTAAAATAAATAAAATAAACTCAGGAACAAATGAGAAACTAAGTGTTATGRAAATATTTATTTAACAAAGACAGAAATACGTGGTCCAAGAGTGAAGGCACTCTGTGGAATGATCAGCTGAGTTTTATTGAGCTCTAGTCTGGAAAAGGTTATAAATCCATTTCTAAAGATTTGAGACTCCAGCGAACCAAAGTGAGAGCCATTGTCCACAAATGGTGAAAGCACAAAACAGTGGTGACCCTTTCCAGCGGTCGCCGCCGGCCAACCAAAATTACCCCCAGGAGTGCAGAGGACTCAAGAGGTCACAAAAGACCCCACAACATCCAACAAACTGCAGCCTCACTTGCTTCAGTTAAAGTCAGTGTTCATGCCTCCACTATGAAAAAAGACACAGAAACAAATGGATTGCATGGCAGAGATCCAAGACGAAAACCACTACTGAGCGAAAAGAACAAAAAGCTTTGTTTCAGTTTTGCCAGAAAACATCTTCATGATCCCCAACCTAGTCAACCAATACCTGATGAAACAAAAGTTGAACTTTTTGGAAGGTGTAGGTCACATTACACCTGGCGTTGATGTAACACACCTTTTCAAAAAAGGTAACAGTAAAATAAGGTGGTGGTAGTGTGATGGTCTGGGGCTGTTTTGCTGCATCAAGACCTGGAAGACTTGCTGTGGTAGACTGAACCATGAATTCAGCTGTCTAGCAAAAACCCCTGAAGAAGAATACCTGGCCATCTCTTCGTGACCTCAAGCAGAAAATCACTTGGGTTCTGCAGCAGGACAATGATCCAAAACACACCATCAAATCCACCTCTGAACGGCTTAAGAAACACATTTAACACTTTGGAGTGGCCTAATCAAAGCAGGGGTCGACAAAACCGTTATTTAGAATGTCCGAGACAAATATTTTCGTTTTGGACAACCAGATCCTGCCTCCTGATTGTCTGGTCGACAACCAAGAAAAAAAAACAATATAAATTAAAGTTCTCCTTTGCAGAATGTCATCTATCTTAAAAATCAAAATATTGCAGGTTAAATTCTTACATCTTCCACACTTCATTAGAGAACGCTAAACTGTGCACTTTTACTAAGGTCATATACTCCACTTTACATGAAATCCTTTGAGCTGTGTGCAGAACGAAGATCATGAATGTGGTATTGGGTGGTTTAGGGGGCAACCTCTAGGTGTAGAAAACTTTCAGTCAGAATATCTTTTGCTGGTTTAATCCCTGAGCCTTAAATACTCTGTGCGTGCCTCTCTTAGTGAAGTCTGATGGATGAGGAGGAGAACGAAGAAGTTCAACTCAAGCAGCTCCGGAAACTGTCAACCTGGCTAACTCAGAACATTTGTATACAGTAAACTTTACAGTACAATATACTATTTAAATTATATTGTTTCTTGAGGTTTTTTGGCATTTTTACGAAAGGACAACCAAACATTTTGGCAGACAAACAGATTTTGTCAACAGGTTGTCTGCTGGACAACCTGAAAAATATCCTTATGTCTACCCCTGCAAAGTATTGACCTAGATCAAATTGAGCTGCTGTGGCATGACGTTAAAAAGGTGGTTCATGCTCAGAAAACCTCCTCCAGTGTGGCTGAAATGCAACAATCCTGCAATGATGAATGAGCAGTCCAAGATTCCTCTGCAGCGCTGTAAAAGACTCATCGCCAWTTATTACAAACGCTAGATTGCAGTTGTTGCTGCTAATTGCTAACCCAATTAGGTTTAGGGGTCCATTAACTTTTTCACACAGGATCTTGTATTTTTGTTTTTAATTTCCTCTTAATAATAAAGACCTTCATTTATGAACTGCATTTTGTGTTCACTTGTGTTATCTTTGTCTCAGGTTTCAATTTGTTTGATTATCACAAATATGTAAGTGTGACAAACAAGTAAAATAATACGAAACCAGAAAGAGGGCAAACACTTTTTCACACCACTGTGTGTGTGTGTGTGTGTATTTATATACACATATACAAACATACTTATGTAACTTATCTAACTTTGTTAAGGTCATTCTAACACACACAGATACTTAAAGCAGGCAACTAACCGGTGAATCTGAGGTGTCATCAGCCAAGTGAAGGCCAAAGTAGTCTCTCTCGGTCAGCTCCAGGTGCTTAAATACAAAGTCCAGCAGCACTTGGCCATGATCCGACTTCTGCAGAAAAGCACAGGAAACGACAAATGAACTAGCTGCTCGGTGTGTTACTCAGCTCGCACGTCTGAGAAAAGTTGTATCGCTGCTCCCCGCTGAAAGGTCAGAGAGGGAGCAATGAAAAGTGCCGATTCCACTTTTCCCACCACAGACATCTTAAATTATTTAAAAACGCCCTCATTGCTGCAGAAATATTTCACTAATTTAAAATTCATCTGAAAATCGTCCATGTTCAGGCTTATTTAATATGGTTCCAACCTCATGGAGAACATGTTTAAGAAATTAAGCTGATAAATGCTTTTGGACTCATGTTTTCCTACAAGACCTCTTTGCAGCAGCAAAGCAAAGTTTAATAGCTCGCCCATTAAAAATAACATGTAACCACTTTATAAGGTGCTTTTCACTGGCTTGTACCAGTGAAATATATGTAACATTATTAGCTTCATCAGTCTGTTTAAGTGATTAAGTCAAATGTTAGTCATTTTTCTTTTAATGGCCTTACTGAGACATGGGGATGGAAAATGACAAGAATAGTGTAACTATAATTACTAGTAGTGTAACACACGTGCAGTGGTTATTAAAATCAGAACGGTATCTACATGAAAACATGAGATTTCCTTTTATTATACCCTATCCAAATAACTGGACCTAAAAATATGACAAAAATGCAGTTAAATTATTTTGGTGATATTGATGCAATCCAGAATGTGCAACATCACACTAATGGTAGAGAAAGAAACCAAAAAAAAAGAGTCTAGAGCAGGTTGAAAGGAAGCAAAAAGTGAGAAATAATTGATCCAGTCCTTCATTAATATCGCATCGCTTCCTAAGAGTGTGAGCCAGGCGAGAGGATAAACTGTGGGACCACAAGTGGAGCAGAAATTCACACCTGATCCTGCAACTCAGAGCAGGAGGCTTAAATTGTGAGTGTGTAGCTCCAGAGCTCCCAGTGGAGGACAACACACACACACAGTTCCTGTTTTTGTCCACTGCTCCGTTTTGCCCTGCTGACACAGTTTTACAGCACAGCATGTGTGAGGGAATGATAGCTGACAGTTGACATGTTGACCATGGCAGCCCTTTAGAAGAACTCAGAGTGTGTGTGTATGTGTGTGTGTGTGTACCGTCTATTGCTGTCAAAACCGGCTTAAACAGTTGTCATCTCTGGTCACTTGAGTGAGCTTTCCTACTCATTCTTGAGGAGGAAGAGTACTATTTGAATTAATGCTGCTTTGTAAGAAATAATTATATTTTCTGGAGTTATTCCATATTATATTGTTTAGATTTGTCAGGATTTTTTTTGCAAACAAAATACTTTTAACACTCAATCTGAAGTGTTCCCTAAATAAAACTCAATCTACACCTTTCATTTGGCCTTATTTTATTCTTCATATGCAAAATCAAGTATATGAAAATCAAGTATAAGAGTATGGTGAAGTAGACGAAGCAAGGGATGAAATGGTAAATAGTTTATATAGTCTGGACTTACTGGCCATTATAAGTGGGGCTGAGTGATAATTCAATAGCGATATACAGTATATCGCAATAAAAACATTTTCAATATCAATAGAAAACATGTCCAAAAAAATATCAAAATATTCAACTGTTGTAACTTTGATAAAATAAGCTAGGACCTTTCAGCTAAACAGATTCAACTTCAAAATAAAAGCTTCAAGCTATTTATTGATAGATGACAAATCTTCGCTTCAACATTTTGAAATGGGGTTTCTTTTTCTCTCTTGTCGACACATTTGAGCGATATCTCGGTGGACCGGTCAACCATTGTAGGGTTAATACGAAATTAATTATTGATTTAGGATGCTGTTACACTGAAATGAGGCATCTAAAAACTAAAGAGGGTGTCAATATGACACCCAAGTAGCTAAAAGCCTGCAGCTAAACAAGGTAAGCTAGCAAAAAATCTGTGGAGTAACACGCAGCAGCAGTTTTATGTTTCTCCACCATGCCTCATAACTGCTTAAAAATAAAACAGAATGATGTCTAATGAAAGGAGAAAATGATGCAACAGCTCAAGAGGAAATTGTAGATAAAAGAGGAAAGGTCGCGTCGCCAGTTTTGGAAAAATTTCAGATATTTTAAGTTTGACAAGAGTTAGACCGATGTTGTCTAAAACTAACCAACAATTATCGACGTCGACCCACATGAAAAACGTAGTCTCACCTATGGTCACAAACTTTGGATAGTGACTGAAAGAACAAGATCATGGATACAAGCGGTCGAAATGAATTTTCTCCGCATGGTAGCTGGTCTCTCCCTTAGAGATAGGGTAAGAAGTTCAGTTATCTGGGAGAGACTCAGAGTAGAGCCGCTGCTCCTCCACAACGAGAGGAGCCAGTTGAGGTGGTTTGGGCATCTAGTAAGGATGCCACCTGAACGCCTCCCTAGGAAGGTTGTTGGCAGCTGTGGCGGAGTGGTTAGGGGAGTCGTCCTGGAACTGGAAGGTCGCTGGTTCGATCCCCCATCCCGCCGTCTCAGTCGTTGTGTCCTTGGGCAAGACACTTTGACCCACCTTGCCTACTGATGGTGGTCAGAGGGTCCGGTGGCGCCGGACCCTCTGCACAGGAAACTGGTAGTTTGCCATCATCAGTGTGTGAATGTGAGTGTGAATGGGTGAATGCCTGTTAGTGTAAAGCGCTTTGGGGTCCGGAGGAACTTGAAAAGCGCTCTATAAGTTCAGTACCATTTACCATTTACCAAGGTGCTTCAGGCATGTTCAACTCGGAGGAGACCCCGAGGAAGACCCAGGATCCCTCTCAGAATGCTGGAAGAGGTGGCTGGGGAAAGAGAGGTTTGGGCTTCCCTGCTCAAGCTGCTGCCCCCGTGACCCGACTTTGGATAAAGCAGAAGATGATGGATGGATGAAACGCTCATACGTTTTTCGCCATATCGCCCAGCCCTAATTCTAAGTCTATATTGTTTATAAGCACTTTTATTCAGACTCAGAAATTATCAGATCTCATGTCAATCCGTGGGACCCCTAAATTTTGAAAAACCAAAGATTGTCCAACCAAACAAAATTTGTGCTTGTCCATTGCTTCTCCTTTGTAAGACGTGGCTTTTCAGCTGGATGTGGAAACCCTCTGTGCATTTTTCTACTGTGCTCCCTGAAAACCCATCGCCTGTCTGAGTAGTATTCTAAAAGCGTGCAGGCCAAATGTGTGCCAATCAAAGAGCAAACAGCCACACATTGTTTAAAAAAACTGGGCCACATAGGCAACCATGTCTGCATGCTGTTTGGCACATTATTTCTCTTTGCTTTTTTTACGCAACAAAAAAAATTAAGAAACGCTAATTGGGTAGAACTCCAGAAGAAACGCATCGTCACAATGAGCAAAGATAACGTAAACTAGGCGAGACATGTAAGAGCAAAAGAATGCAAATGAAAGAAGAGTCACAGAGACACAGAGAGGGGGAAAGAGAAAGCATGGAAGAAAAGGAGTGATTGACGATGTGACTCAGTGAGACAAACGCTCTTTGTGCAGTCTGCTAGCACGGCAAACTGAACAAGCGTCTGTGTGCATGAGAGTGAGGAAAGAGAGAGGAAGGAGACATTGTGATAGAGAGCAATCAGAGCACAAGTGACTGGCTGAGAGGGGAAAAAGGGAGGAAGAAGGGAAAGATGTGCTGATAAGTTTTATACCCTCAGGGTTTATCATTTGAATCAAAGCGGAACAAGACTCACAAAACACTTTGGTGGCACTTAAGGGGAAATCCCAGTGTCTTTATGGAAGGTTAACAAGAAAATGTGACATATGAACTTCCCTCCTTACACAGGAAACACAAAAGTGTGTGCGTAGGTGTGTTTGTGTGTATGTGTAGTGGCATTTACTACAAACAGAGGACCACTTTCACAGTATTTCCCAACAAAGTGAGGTCATTTGTGGGAAGTAGGAATCTTTTCCAGGTCCTAACGTTTTTGCAGCTCTACTAGTTAGGTTTAGAGGTAAGGTGTGAATTACGTTTAGGTTAATTTTATGGTCAGAAATAGACTAATAATGGTTAGGGTTAGGGAAAAGGTCTGACTTAGGCATAAATGCGGTTGCAAAATTAATGGAAGTCAATAAAGTCCTAAGTTTGATGAAAGTACAAGGATGTGTTTGTTTTTGTTACATGGTGGGGGCAATTTTTGACCATTTTCCCAGTACACTCAGGCTGATGAGGATCCACTGTTCCTAATGGAGATGAAAGCCTAGTCCCCATTGGTGGAAAATACTGTTGGTGGGTCAGGGGTTTGATTTAGGACTAAGATGTGAATAGAGTTTAGACTAGGTTTAGGTATATACTGGGTGGTAAGGTTTAGGGCAAAGGTCAGGGTTAAGCTATAAAATTACCAGAAAACGAATGGAAGTCAATCCACGGTGCCCTTGGGGATGTAAAAACAAACGTGTGTGTGGGTGTGAGTGTTGTGTGTGTGTTCATGTGTGTGTGTTTGGTTGTCTTAAAGAATGAGGGAAGTTCAGGAATGTTAAAGGCAGCTTGTTCAGACAGGAAAAAAGGCCACATGAAGTCATCCACATCTACATCAGAGTATTGAATAAATTGTTTCTTATGCCTTTTTCTAATATTAATTATTTATGTAACAACTCTATTTTTCCTATTTTTGTCCCCAAAGCATAAAGATTTGCTGGCTGTCCTGGTATGTGTGTTTTTATCTGCTTACCTAAGCTAAAATGTAGCTCGTTAAATGTGCTGAAGAGCAGCGTTATTACCACAATCAGACATTGGAATGACACAAAAACCCACAACTTCATGTCTTAAGCGTAAGCTCAAAGAGGTGTAATGAAGGTAGTCACCTGGATGAAACTAAAAGGGTTATCTCTGAGGCGGCAAAAAGCGGAAGCAGACAATGCTTTTGTGTGTGTGTGTGTGTGTGTGTGTGTGTGTGTGTGTGTGTGTGTGTGTGTGTGTGTGTGTGTG